TTTCATTTTTGGGTGAACTATCCCTTTAAGGCCAAAGTATACTTCGGCTGTCCGCGTCACGTCATTTTCGTCATCAGGAGGGCTCGCAGACAGCCGCACACCTCGTCCGCTTGCAGGCAATTTTTTGAGACCGCGTGGACTGTCCGAGTACAACAGCGCATGCGCGAGGTGAAAGTAGAGACAGAGCGCAAGTCAAACTGCACCTGTGTCGAGCTCGTCCGTCCGCACTCATCCGCGGTTGAGTATACTTTGAAAGCTGTGTGGACACGGCTGAGCGCGAGACTGAACGGAACGCGGAAAGTGAAGTATACCCGGGCCTTTATTGGCTCACTGACGCTGATGAGATTAACCCCTTAGGTATCGAAATTTGGTACCGAACGACGAGACGTTTTTCGATACTCGATGGTATCGAGGCAATTCGGTCGGTGCCTAAAAAGTATCGAACTCGATACCCAGCCCTAACAGCGCATATTAAGTATGTACTGTACAACACTGCACTGACCCAGCATTCACACCTGCGTTTGTGTGCTTGCATAAATTACATGACTGGCTTATAAATAAACATCATCATCAAAAGTTAAAAATACTTCACAATCGGAAGACGACAGCATGACACAGAGCAAAGCGTTCACAAATAGAACACAGACTTGTTCGTCATCCGTCTCTGAGCCAGATGCTGCAGGAGAGCTGTGAACAGCAAGAAGAGAGAGAGAGAGCGAGAGTAACTGGTAAAAAGAGAGAGAGATGGAGAGTGAGACAGAAAACTGTTGGCATCGCAGCGTGTGGCACCACGAGTCTGTCTGCTGCTGCCATATGCGAGTAATGCAGAAAACTCAAACGATATTTTCACAGGTGACACACAGCGTGTAGACGCACACACAGAGAGCGGGAAAGTGTGTCTGAATATTCACGGATTAGCATTTAGGTCATTTATTTACACCATGTTGTTCCAAACTCGTATGACTTTCTTGAAATTCTAAAGAATGTGCAGGTCATTCATTTCCATGCAATTATAATGCACGGGGACTGGACCTTTTAAGTGTCTAAACATGCAAAATCACTTTAAAAGCTAGGCTGCATCTCAATATGCCTACTACTCTGCTATTTAGGCAAAAAAGTAGGTGAAAAACTGTATTTATGTCTAAATTCAAAGTATTCTTAAAACAGTAGGTGAAAAAGTGCGCATCAGATGGACACTTTACTATCCCATGAGGCCATGGGAGAGGATTTGTGAATGGCAGTGAAGCGACGCAACTGACACTGTTAGGTCACATGACAATGACAACATAACTATGTATGTAGCCGTCTGGATAACATTCATACTACACACATTCATAGTATGTATACTATGTACATGTACATCAAGTGCATTCATACTTTCTTCAGTCACGCAAAATAGTAAGTACTTATTCATAAGAAGTGCCTGCTTAGAGAGTATGCCATTAGGGGCTGTTCACACAGCATTTTTGGGTTTAAAAATGCAAGATATAGGGCAGTGCATGTTACTAGCATGATGTTAACATGATTAGCATGTTAATATCATGTTGCTAGCATTATTCTAGCATGATTAGCATGTTACTAGCATGATGGTAGCATGTTTAACAAAGTTTAACAAGTTGCTAGCATATTGCTAGCATGATTATCAAGTTTCTGGCATGTTTCTAGCATGGTTAGAATGTTACTAGCATGTTGTTAACATTTTGTTGGTATGATTAGCAAGTTACTAGCATGTTGTTATCATGATTAGCAAGTCACTAACATGTTTCTAACATGATTCTAGCATGATTAGCATGTCACTAGCATTATTCTAACATGATTAGCATATTACATGCATGATGCTACCATGTTTCTAGCATGTTTAGCAAGTTGCTAGCATGTTTCTGACATGATAATCAAGTTACTAGCATGTTGTTATTTACTTCTAACATGATTAGGAAGTTACTATCTTGTTGTTAGCATTATTAGCAAGTTACTGTCATGTTGTTAACATGGTTCTAGCATGATTAGCATGTTACTAGCATGATGCTAGCATGTTAACATGATTAACAAGTTACTAGCATGATGTTAACGTGATTAGCATGTTAATAGCTTGTTGCTAGCATGATTCTAGCATGATTAGCATGTTGTGAGAGGCTTTGATGTTGTGACAGAACAGGATGAAGGTGATGAGCAGGTAGTCTATGTGGGACTTGTGAACAGGCAGGAAGACCAGGGGAACATTGTACTGGAAGTAGGGCCGTTTCTAACCAATTTGATGCCCTAGGCGAAATCCCTATTGCCCCCCCCCAAATTATATATATATATATATATATATAATTTGGGGGGGGGCAATAGGGATTTCGCCTAGGGCATCAAATTGGTTAGAAACGGCCCTACTTCCAGTACAATGTTCCCCTGGTCTTCCTGCCTGTTCACAAGTCCCACATAGACTACCTGCTCATCACCTTCATCCTGTTCTGTCACAACATCAAAGCCTCTCACAACATGCTAATCATGCTAGAATCATGCTAGCAACAAGCTATTAACATGCTAATCACGTTAACATCATGCTAGTAACTTGTTAATCATGTTAACATGCTAGCATCATGCTAATCATGCTAGAAACATGCTAGTAACTTGCTAATCATGCTAACAACATGCTTGTAACTTGCTAATCATGCTAGAAACATGCTAGTAACTTGCTAATCATGTTAACAAAATGTTAACAACATGCTAGTAACATTCTAATCATGCTAGAAACATGCCAGAAACTTGATAATCATGCTAGCAATATGCTAACCATGTTAGAAACATGCTAGTAACATGCTAATCATGTTAGCAACATGCTAGTAACATGCTAATTGTGCTAGCAACGTGCTAATCATGCTAGAAACATGCTAATCATGCTAGAAACAGCCTAGCAACCACCCCAGGTACCCTAGCAATATGTTTTATACCTCTCTGTTTTTCCTGATAGACTGTATTTCCTTGAAAACATTCAAACTTTAATCTTTAAAAACTATTTTAAGTTTCAAACTACTTCAAACTAAACACTTTCAGACTGCAAACTTTTAAAACTTTTTCAAACTTTCTAGCTATGCTTTTTCAAGCCAACTTAAAGTTTGTCTACAAACTTTTCAGTCTAGTTCTGTTTAGTGTCAGTTTTCTGAAGCTGCTCTGAATGGATGAGATGTTGTGTGTGGACTGTGTGTCCAGTATTACAGACTGACACAAAAAGATCATCAAACTGCATTACAATCATCAGTCCTGCACAGAATGAATTACTTATTATTTTATTTATACACATTTCTCCTAATGCTTAGGAGTCAAGAAATGTTACATTTGCTAAGAAATCTTTTTTTTATTGTCCCTTACCCAGACACTTTTAACTTTCCCTCTATATTAAATGTATAAAAAGTGATCAAAAATATGATTCATTTGGGATTTATACATTCAATTAGTAATTTTCTTCAAAATTACAATCTTCTGTTCCCCAAACGTATTATAACTATAACTATTAAATATAAGTATTAATGTATTGTATGTGCTAGTTGTCTTATGTTTTTATGTCTATCTATGATTACGATTACCTGCCAAGGGACTGCGGATGAAAACTAGCCTTCGGCTAAATACGGTACAATGCATGAAATGGAAACATTTATGTTATAATTGTACATGGTCCCTTTTCAAATACATTTTAATAATAATAATAATAATAATAATAATAATAATAATAATAATAATAATAATAATAATAATAATAATAATAATAATAATAATAATAATAATAATAATAATAATAATAATAATAATAATAATAATAATAATAATAACGGGACAGTCATTATCATTTTGACAAGCTAAATTTGGATAAAATACTCACCAGATTGTATTTTTTGGGACGCCACCCATAGGATCACGCGCATGACGAGGGATCTTTTTAAGCATCAAACGTACACAGCTGCAGGGACTGCAGGGAGACGCCGTATGATTCCCCGATCCAGCTTAATCACTACAAGAAGGGGCCCACCGCCCTGGACCGACCACCCAGCGGACCGCACCTGAAACGAGAGAAAACAAACAAGGCAGAACCGGGGGAAGGAAGGCCCCGCAGAGCCCGCCCAAACCCCGCACCGATCGGACGGCCTGAACTTATCTGTTGAGGGGTTACACTCTCACGCCTCACCGCACCAGAGAGGAGGGGCCAAGTCCCGACTGACCCCGCTTCGGAGCCCAAGCCCCTACCCAACCCCTTTCCCCCACCGCGACCTGGGCACAACCCACCAGGAGGACAGCCAGGACTGCCCCCCCCGGGCGAGATTACATCCGGCACTCCCTAAAGAAGGGAGGCTTTGCGGACCAGCCAGCTTTACCCATCCATCTCGGAGGTTTTCAGGTCGGAGACCACCCATCCCGCGAAAGGCTCCCCTTCTTGATATCCACACCACCCGGACCAGCCTGGAGGCCGCCCCAGGTAGCAGGTGTGTGGGGCGATTTCAGGCTGCGAGGCCACCCTCCCGCGGGGGGCCCCCTCGAGTTATATGGGATCACTGCACCGGCTCACTCAGCTCGAATCCTTGCGGACTTCCAAAAACCGGCCACCCGGTGATTGGCTTTGTATAGGAGGCTGTAACAGGCTCAAGGCGACCGAGGGACTGGAGGGCCGCCTTTGTACCCAGACCCGCAGTCCCAAGGATTTAACCAACAAACCTGCCCATCACTTTTCTATACATATCAGAGACAAGGTTTTCAATTTAGTTGGCACACCCAGCACCAACCAGTTACTCAGAGGCTGTTTTTAACCGGAAGATGGAATTCGTTGAAAACCATCAGCCGTTTGGCGGAGGGTAAGAAGGTTGCAAAACTGGGCCAGACAGCACCGCCACCGAACTCCCATCACAGGATCCAGAAGCGAACGCTATCCAGTTCCAGCCTGCAGTTTGCTCCAGGCCAGTAGATGAGTCCAGACAGGTAAGCGGCAAAGTCGGGGCGGGAGGGCTCTGTAAAGCTCGCGACCCGGGGGCCGCGAGCCACCTTCGCCCCCTGACCCTTCCTGGCCAAACCGGAGCCGGTCGCGGCGCACCGCCTTGGAAGAAGTGCGGCCGAGCCACCGGCCAGACGGCGGTCCCCACCCAAGGGGATCCACGCGCCCAGACCGGGCCGACCTGACCCGCCGGGTTGAATCCTCCGGGCAGACCGTGCGGACCCCACCCGTTTACCTCTTAACGGTTTCACGCCCTCTTGAACTCTCTCTTCAAAGTTCTTTTCAACTTTCCCTCACGGTACTTGTTGACTATCGGTCTCGTGCCAGTATTTAGCCTTAGATGGAGTTTACCACCCGCTTTGGGAATGCAGCCCCCTACCCGTCCACCTGCCGAACCCGGGCATCCCACACTTAAGCCCGGGTTACTGACCCGGCCAACCGGCCCCTCCGTAGAACCAAGCCACTGGTCACCCCGCCGGGGATTTACCACTGGTCACCCCTCATCGACTTAGGTTCTGGCAGCCTCGCCTCAGACTTCCAGGGTCGTGGGGGGGAGTCTGCGTGCCCGCCTCGGGGAACCGCAGACGCAGGCATGAGGGGGACACCCTGCAGACCCCCCTCTACCCGACCGAGGGAACCACGACTCCGGCCTGAGGGAGGGACTCTGCTGCACCCCCCCCCTGCCCACCTCGTTCTCTCTCCTCCCCGGACGCCTTTTCTCCGAGGGCCCCCCTGGACCTCCAGGAGGGACCCCCTACCCGTCCACCTGCCGAACCCGGGCATCCCACACTTAAGCCCGGGTCACTGACCCGGCCAACCGCCCCCTCCGGAGAACCCAGCCACTGGTCACCCCGCCGGGGATTTACCACTGGTCACCCCTCATCGACTTAGGTTTTGGGCCGGTTGTCCGCCTGCCCCGGCCACTGGTCACCCCCTCATCGACTTAGGTTTTGGGCCGGTCGTCTGCCCGCCCCGGCCACTGGTCACCCCTCATCGACTTAGGTTCTGGCCGCCTCGCCCTCGGACTTCCGGGAGGGGGGAGTCTGGCGCCGCCAAGGCCCTACCCGCCTTCGACTCTCCCCTTGCTGGGGGGCCGCCTCTCCGGAGAGGCCCCCGGTGCTTTCCCCGCCACTGGTCACCCCCCATCGACTTAGGTTTTGGGCCGGTCGTCCGCCCGCCCGCCCCGGCCACTGGTACCCCCGGGACACCGGCGGGGGGGTCAAACCGAGGCCGCCCGGGTGGCCGACAAAAACTTGGATCGAGGGATGACTTTCAATGGATCGCAGCGAGTGAGCTGCTCCGCCACGCACGAAACCCTGACCCAGAATCAGGTCGTCTACGAGTCATTTAGCACCGGGTTCTCCACAAACATGCGGTGCGTCTCCAGAGAGGGGCGGCACTCGTTCGGCCGCACCCCGGTCCAGTCACGAACGGCTCTCCACACCGGCCGGCCCCGGGGGGGTCGACCGGCTATCCCAGGCCAATCAAATTCCCGCGGCGCTGCGGTATGGTTATGTTTAGGCGGGATTCTGACTTAGAGGTGTTCAGTCAGCCCTTACTTTATTACTTTTGACCTAACTCATTAATCACATTGATTTAAATAGGATAATCTTCTGGTTTATTGCTCGTTATGCCCAAAACACACCCGTTACTCATTAAGAGAATAGGGACATCCCTTTTAGACCATGTGCCGGGCACGGCGACCGTTTTTCCCGTCGTTAAACTAGCAAAAGTGGATTTGGACACGCCCTAAGTGCACCTGCGCCGTGCGCTTTAGACCTTCCGCTTAGATCGTTAAAATAGGGCCCTATATGTCTGGTTCCCGTGGTCTTGTGCCGATGGTCGTCGAGGTGATGAGGTCTTCACAGGGGATCTGTCTCTGGGGCATATCTAGTTGACATGGTCTCTGCTGACATTCAGGGTTGTATAGGTCGTCTCTAGGTGCTGATCCACCATCTGGACTGACTGGATCCGTACGGCTACGGTGACCTCAGAATAAGAATGAA